TGCTCCTTCCCATTTCTTGTTCAATGTAATTAATCCCATAGGTTTTCTGACATATGGATTATGAAGATATATGTTTTACAAGCAATAGAAACTGATTCTGACAAATTTAAGAGCAAAGGAAAGAAAAGACAGAGGGCGAGGAGGGAGAATATGAGGTAGTTCACAGATTGAAGGAAAGGCTGAGAAACCAGCCTTAGAAAGGGCAAGAGCAGAGGGAATCTGAGCACCTGCCAGCAGGAACCAACAGACATTCTCTTCAAGGGATTTCCGTCTCAGGAACCAGCGTTGCGGTCATTCTGCTCCTGCCAGTTTCACATTTCTGAGAGAGGAACTTACTGTCCCAGCTTGATCAGAGTGGGTAGGGCCTTTTGATTGCTAATCTTGCCAAGATTCAGGAAATGGGGGAGGAAGTAGCTTCATTGGTGGTTTTAGCTTTGTACTATCGGATCCACCTCAATTGATAACACTCACAACTCTCACCTCTTCCTCGTTGTCTTTCAGTCATCGAGGAAGTTTTTTCCCATCACATTCTTCGGTTCCATCACCTGGATCGCAGTATTCTCTTACCTGATGGTCTGGTGGGCGCACCAGGTAAGACTTTGATAGTGACATCCACCTACCTGGTTTCTCTCTGGTCTTGGTTGCCAAGAGGTTAATCAATGTGTGTGCTTTCTGAAACTGTCACAATATTGGAGTGACACAGATGAGTTACACATTCCAGAACTAAAGGAATTTTCACCACTTAACTCTACCTAGTCTCTGGGTCTTTCCCTGTAGCATGGAATCAAATTGGCATAGCCCCAGGAGAGCCATGTGGAGGAAGGCAAGCCTTCTTGCCCTCAGCAGCCTGAAGCCAGGCCAACCCTGGCCTGGGAGGAATGTCCTCGGCAACACTTAGTTTATCTTGGGCAGCCACTCACCTCATGTTCTCCCCAGCTGTTCAAAACTGGCTCTTAGGAAAGGACCTGCAGACAAAATAGGAGCTCGTCCTTGAGCTTCTATTTATAAAAATAATGATGTATTTCATTTTTATCATTTCTAACTCAATACCAGTCATAATACCTATCACAAGAATACACGCTCAGTTACTATTATTGAAAAACATGAACGAAAGAATTAGATGCCAGGGTTTCGCATTCTCAAAGATAATAGTGGTAACCATTATTAATTGAATGTGTAGTTATGCTCAGCAATTCACTCCCTTTGTCTTTATAATCTTGACAATAACCCTGTACATAAGTTCAAGTCCTGTGAGGTAGGTATTATTATCCATAGTTTACAGATAAAGTAGTTAAGCTTAAGGCTGATAAGAAAATTGACCAAGATCATATAGTAGTAAATAGTAGAACTCAGTCTAACCCAGGACTCTGCAACTCCGAAACTCATGCTTTTAATCTATATGATACACTACATAAATTCCAAACGCTCACTTGTATCCTTTGTTTAATATAGTCCTAAAATTATTATACTTGTTAACATAAATAAAATGTAGCAATTTGAAATAAGGAAATACACGACAAGAATATATGTGGATAGACTTTTCAATAAATGGTGCTGAATGGGCCGGCCCGGTGGCGCACTGTAGCAGTGCGCCACTTGGGAGCATGGTGGCGCTCCTGCCGAGGGTTCGGATCCCACATACAGAC